CGGTGAAGCGGTTCCCACCATACAGTCTCCTTCCAAAAGTGGATCACCTGCCAAAGAAAAACCAACAAAAAGTGAGAGTATTACGGACGAAAAGCGTTTGAAAAGGTTAGCAGCGCGATTAAGAAGAAAATCATTAGATAGCGCTACTAGTTCGGAACCAATGAAAATGCTAGTCCGTCTGAGTTCATTAGAAACCAAAATTTCATCGGCCATTGAAAATCGACGAGATTTAACGAATTCTTGTGAATCCTTAAGCTTAGCAAGCACAACTACCGGGACCTCCGTCTCCCCGGAAAATCCCTCACTGAGCGAAAGCCAAGAGAACTCAATCGGTACACAATCACAAAGGCATCTGCTCGATCGATTACAGAGTCTTGAAAATGTTGTGATACATTCGAGAAATAAAGTAAATGAATGTCTTTGCCAAATGAGTGCCATGCGGGCGGCGAAATCCCGACGATCCCCGTCGCCGAGTCTGGAGAAAAAATATAGCATTAAATCAATGGAGAAATGCTTGTCAGATGTCAGTAAAAGGTTACAGGAGTGCTTCGACAAGTGTGTTGTGGAGTGCCAAGACAAGGAGGAGATAAACGACAACGTCGCGGAGGTCGTCGTGCAGCTAGAAGAACAATTAAGAACGAAATTACTAGAAATATCTAAGAAAAAGGCAGCTCTGTACGAGGCCGGCGAGCTGACGCAACGAAAGAGCTTAGAATTACTGGCCGAGAAGTTGGCGTACGAGGCGGTCCTCATCGGTAGGATACAAGAGGCTCTGCAATCTTCCAACGGAAGCAAATTTTTCGCCAGGTTAATAAAGTCTGAAATAAACGAAACTAGTCAACTAATCGATAACCTTAAGTCTAAGATTAACGGCGAAAATTTCAATAATGTCAATAACACGAAGAGCTCGCTCGACTACCTAGCGAGGATACTGTCGCGGAAAATCGACATAATGAATAACAAAGAAACAAAGGAGTTCAGAAAATCTGAATTAATAATTCAAAGCGCCGATCTCGAGGCTCTGAAGGCCTCACAGAGGGAAGTGGCGGAGGCTGTCGACAAGTACAAGACGGAGAAATTGGCGGAGCTGTGCTCGGCGCTGGCCTG